ACCAGCCTGCTCTTTTTATGACTGAAACAGACTGCAGATATTAAACTCCAAGACATTCCTCGGCTCGGGGCCACAGCTGCTTGTTGTTTTCGTCCCATATTCCAGAAGTGGGATGTGTTCGCGCTGCTGGGTCGCTCCGTAGGCTTTCACCGAGCAACACGGCGGAAACATGGGCGAAGTTCGGGACGACGGAGACGCGAAGAAGACCTTGGTCGCTCCAGCAATTAAGTCTTTTGAACATCACGACTTTTCCCGCGCCAAAATCTGTTGCAGCCTCAGGTGGCTTGTAGCCAAAGCATACGGGACAGGTAGGTGACAATACTGTACTTTTAATTCCGTTTTAATTAGAAGCACGTGCAACAAATCTGTAATTAATTATTAATTAACTCAGGAATGCAGGCCTACTCTTCTCAATTATGTATATTTTATATAGAGCCCTGTTTTATATTAATAATTGCAAACGTATAATATAGTATATCTGGGTTAAAWAATGTCAGTTTCCTCAAATATATTCAAACATCATCTGAGAATATGAATCACTCCTCCAATGACTAAATCAAAGCTATTCTCGGGTGAGAGTATGTTATTTGCACACTGGGTGACAAATGTGTCATTTTTACAGTGGGTGGCAAAATCTAATCAGGTGAGTTGTTTTTCTACCTACTTTTTATGATTAACCAAACCTTTGAAGGGAAAAAAACTGAGGACGCTAAATGGTGAGTAACTGCAGCACAATTGTAGGCCCTCACTATAAAAAAAAAACTGCTTTTTATTTATTTTATCCATTCATTAGAATAAAGAAAAGAAAATCTATATATACAAGAAAAACAAAATACAAGTCATAAATTATATCTGCCCCCCTTTTCCCCAAAAACAAATAGAACAAAAACAATATTAGATCCTTTACAAACAACAATAATACATGTCAACACATATTTTATATTGTATTTATTTAACAAACTACCTTTTATCATTCTCTTTAAAAAAATCCTTTGAAGCAGCTCTATCTCTTAACAAATTTTGATTAGATGTTTAAATGTAATATTGAGATAATGTGTAAAAACTAGATTGTGGTTTTCAGTGTTCAGCCCTGATCCAAACTGTGTAAAAATCCTCTTGATCATTCAGGAACAGCTAATCTGCTAGAGCTAACACAAAGGAAAGAAGCTTTATGCTTTTAAAAAGGCCTTTGTTTTCTTCCAGTTAGRAATTATATTGGGTTAATTTGATGAAATCCACATTCATCTGTTCATTCCAACACCACACGGTCTGTTTGGGTGCATCCTGCCTTGCCCACTGCTCTGTAACAGCCCAGTGAACCTGAGGTTTCTTGCAAACCTGCCGTGTGTTTTCAATGAGGGCTGAATGAAATGGGTCGATTCCAAAAATACAGACTTCCAGAGGGAGCAGGAGGGAGGGAAATGAAAGAGAGCRAGCAGGCTCATCCCCGGATTGCTGCCTAACTCTGCTCTTTCTCCTTCGTGTGCRTCTTGTGTTATTACAAATATAGGAGTGCATGGAGGATAGGCAGTCAGGTTTATGCAAGATGCAAGCCCCACATAGAGGATCAGCTGTCGGTGATTACTGCCCCACAGCAAACAGTGAGAATGAGAAGAGATTACACTGAATTCACTCTTGCACATTCCCAAACTCAAAGCATGAAACTCCAAAAATCAGTCTTTCTGCTCTTTCGACGAATGAAACATTATGAATGTGGCAGATAGCAAAAGAAATCCACAATTTAGTTTTCTCATATCCAGCCATATATATATATATATATATATATATATATACATACACCAAAAGTCCTTGCAGCAGTGTCCTGAAGGAGCTGAACATTTTGATTTATAAGTTGTTGAATTAGCACAAACATTGCAGAATGAGATACTGTATGTGCTGAAAAATGTACAGAAGACAAAATGATCTCAGTAGTGACTTGTTTCGCTATAATTGCAATAAATCAAATTTCTGTTTCCCAGCTCACTGAAACTCTGCAGACACTTGTCACATGGGCACAGTGTGAAAGCAATGACAAACATGATTGTGAATTCTTTGTAGACTGTCTCACTGCACAGTGGACCTCTCTGAGGCGATCAACACGCACTCGTGCTGGCGCTCGCTTTGAAGAGAGAGAAGGGTGTTCCCGGAGATTTAGAAGCTTCAGAGAYRAAAACACAAGATGAATCGATCGGGTTCCTCTCCTCCTGCAGTTGCTATAGCAACGCTGAGGYCTATTCACACACAAGATCTATGTTATGATATTGTCAAATCGCTGCARTGAAGGGAAGTACTGTCACAGGCGAAGGACCGATTTGGTGTTAAATAGTCAAATAAAATTTTTACTCTTTTTTTTCAGTGTGCTTGAAATGTAAGAAATGACCACTTTTCTACATTTTGTTAATTTTTTTTTTTTTAATGCTTAAAACTTATATGTCTTTCCTTCCTTACACAGACAGCATCCCTGCAGACTTAAAGGACCCTTTCTACACTGACCAGTATGAGCAGGAGCACTTGAAGCCCCCCGTGGCCAGCCTCCTGCTGTCCGCCGACCTCTACTGCCGTGCGGGCAGCCTCATTCTGAAAAGCGATGCTGCCAAGCCGCTGCTGGGTCACGATGCCGTCATCCAGGCTCTGGCTCAGCGTGGACTCTACGTCACCGACCAGGAGAGACTGGTGACTGAGAGAGACCTGCGAAAGAGACCWCTGCAGATGGTGAGAAGCTGCTTTTTTTAATTACCTTTCAGGCACCAAAACGTCATTTCCCCGGTCCTCCTTTGAATGTGAGCAGAATTAACTTCATTCACATGTTATACAAAGATAATAACTATCTGAGACAAGTTTTGTCTACGTCAGACTCTTAACCTATGAGCGCCACCTTGAGGGCCTCAAAAKAACARYAGTTTTTAACTTTGGGCCGCAGASGGCCGTGGRACCGCATTGATTTTGAATAAGGTGCAATACAYTTTCTCACCACTAGTAGCGGTAGTGTGCCACTCAGATGTTTAACAACTTTTTTTACTACGTAGAAGAAGAACCTTAGAAACCGGCCGAGAATGGAAACCTATTTTAAATTAAAAGTAGAAGGCAAAAATAAAGGTAACCCATCAAAAAATGCCAAAATTTGTCACTAATATGAAGTGCAGCCTCTGGTTCTACCATGCAATATTTTAAAAGTTCAAAACATTATCAAAAACAGTTGCAGATACAGCTATATTTTTATTTGCACTTTATCAAATTAATTTTTGTAATTTATTTTTAAGCATTCTGTCAAAAAGCTGTTGTTACTGTTATTGTTTGTCACTAATATGAAAAGCAACCTCTCTACCATGCAGAAGTTTAAAAAGGCTTTGTTTGCATTTGTACTTTATCAAATTTATTTTTACAGTTCATTTTTATTTGGAATATTTACGTTAAATATTTTTGAATGTATTTATTTTATGACCACAATTTTATTTATTGAATTGTCTATTTTTGTTGCTGTTTATGTAAAAAAAAAAATGTTATTTTTGTGTTGATAAGCCTGAGTGGTCTGTTGACTAGCCATGTTTC